TTCATCTAGCAATTCTTATATTTTATATTTATTGATTAGAAAAGACTTTTTCAACAATTTTATTGAATAGTTTAGTTTGTTTACAAATCAAATTTATTGTAAATCTTCCACTACAATGTTGATTTGGCTTAAATCATTGGAGTCAACGAATTTGAAACACTTCAATGTTTTATTGACATTTATTACTTAAGTGCTACTATCTTTGAAGTTTTTATATTTAGCATCAATTTACTTTTTATTAAGATCTAGATGAATATATATATATACTGTTATAGTGACGTTTCATGTAACATTGTCACTTTTAATTTAAGAGATATTATTTCTTCTACATTAATATATTAACCTATCATTTTCTAACTATTTTGCATTGCTATGAATGAAATCGAAATCACTCTTGACTATGCAAAAAATAAAAAGCACTTTTTCAAAAGAAAAACATTCTTCGTCATAAAGCACGTTCAAAATGTAATTCAAATCTCTACTCAAATGATGTAATAGAAATGGATCCATCTGTTATAAGATATTTGAATTCAATGATAACAGATACACCTGGTAACAATTGTATGAATCAACATCATGCTCAATCGTGCCATTTATGTATTGATAATTTAAACAATCCAGTAGAAGAGAATGTAGATGAAGTATCAATTGTTTCTGATAATTTTTGATGTTACGAACCTTAGGCACCATCCACTAACAGAAAAATTAAGTTTACATAAATATGCTACAATGGATCGTCTCTTATTTTTTACAAGATCTAATTTATTTTATTAGAAATCCTAATATTTCCAAATCCAATGTTGAACAGCTTACAACTTTGGTACAATCAGAGTTACTTCAACCAAATACTTTATCCAACAACTATGCTGAAATTCTTAAGCCTCTATCAAGTAACAGTATTCATTTTATTTTCTTTTGATTCAGTATTAACCATCAGTGAATACTAATGTAATAGTTATAGCAATAAAGAATTAGTTCTCTGATTCAGATCGAAGCGTTCTAAGTGAGAAAAAAAGTTCAGATTTTTTTATTCAAATAAAGCTTTCTAGAATTATTCAATGCGTTGATAAGTAATAATAAATAGACATATTTGGATGGTTCCGTTGAAATAAAAATTACGACTATCGGCTTAGCATGAGTATTTAAAAAATATTAATACTTTTATATTAAAATTTAAAAAAAAAATACTTTAATACAAAAGTGTTAAAATTAACATTTTCTAATGTAATACACATATTAAGCCAAAATTCCTAATAAAAACAGACAAATAATAGACTACTTTATCTTAAAGTTCAGTTAAAAAATAAGATGGTTCTAAGTCGTCTGAAAACTGTAACAATAAAAAGGATACTTTTCCAACAGAATTTGATATTTTATTTTTTTCCTAAAAATTAAAATCTTCATATTTGTTTGAGAGTAAACAGTATGAACTGTCTTATCTCTGTTTGTTCGCTTAAGAGATAAGAGACGTGCTTTTTTGTTTTAATTTTCATAATGATCTTTTCCTGAAAAATGACTTCATAAACATTTTTTTTAAATTCTTTAGTCGAGGATTTATTCATTAAAATGGTAGTATGCATGAATTGAAAACTTGATCTTGTAACAACATCAAATAAAATGAGTTAATTGCACAAACGAATGCTTAACTGTAAATTTCAATGCATTACAAGAAACAACTTTTACTCGAACATATGATAGTGTTTTTAAGACAATTAATTCGTATTGTAAAGTTTTTACAAGAAAACAAACTGATGATGAAATAAGCGATATTGTTTATAACAATAAATTATAAAACTTTCAATAATTAAAGTTCTGATACGTTTAATAGCATTCTTCTTCATTTGGATGGTATTAGCCTGTCTGAATTAACTAAGCAATCTTTATAGATTCTAAGTAGGTCTATCGTTGAGGTTTTGTCTGCTATTAGAACCTGACGACAAACTAATTTAATTCTTTCAATGTGGATTGCAAGTAAACAATCAAATATTGAATTATTGCTAAATCAATGTTATCATCAATTAATAGATTTAAAATGTAATGAGAACAGTGCTATTTAAAAATAAAAAGCAATGGTGCTGACCAAAAAGCTATTTTTGGCTACCAATTAAGATGAATCTTAGTTCATTATTAGAAATCATTGTTGCCGCTATTTTTGTATGTAGCGAAGAGCTGTGTCGTACTAAATAGCGACACTAAATAAAAATAAAAGTATATTTGGACTGAAAATGGTATTTGCCATACGTTTCTGTCTTCGAAAGACTTTCTTACTATTCATATACTGCTCATTAAAGAAAATTATATGTGAAAATGCTAACTGCATAATTTATACAATTGGATATTTGATAAACAGTATTTTTTTCTCGGTTCGATAGTTATAGAGGTATATATAAGCTGCATCTTTATTTCAAATATATGAGTTATTCTTATTCACTTGCAATTATTGATAATTTTATTTGTGCGGATGTTTTCTTTTGTTTCAATTATTGAAACGTTTCTTATCTTACAAATTTGATAATTTTAAACCATTATTTAATATTTTTACCTGATGCCAGAAAAGCATGAAAAAAAAAAGAAGATCTTGAAGATGTTTTGGTTAGATGCGGATGTTTTGATCTTCTCTTCAGGAATGTCCACAGCTACAGCCACATACAAACTTATCTATAGTTAATTGAGAAGTGAGATCGTCTTTTGATAAAATCTAAAAATTATTATGCTGTTCCTTTGAAAGATATTATTTATTCACTTTTGGATCAACAAGCAATTGGACATATAAGTGATAATGTTCCAAGAAATGAATTCAATGATATTGATTTGGATTTTATCGAATCTGAAAAAGCATCCCGTACCCACACCTTTATCCTAGGTTTTTAAATAATATATTGTACTGAGACGATTTCAAAAAGTGCAAAGATAATAACCTTGGCCACTATTTTCGAATGAGACAAGTTAAAAATTTGAAAGAGAGACACGAGATTTTGTTATTAATATGGATTAATTTCGTACTCTAGATCCACACGTGTGAGATGGATGTGCCTTCCTTATTGCTTCTGCTTCTCTTTCCTTTCTGTCTTTCAAGAATCTTTTCTTTTCTTTCTTGGGTTTTTTCCACTTTTGTATTCCTGTTCTTTTTCTCTCTCTTCTTTCCTCATCTAGTCTCTTCTCGTCTTTTTTCTCTTTTCTTTGTTCATTTTGCTACATATCTACTTCAACAATCTAAATGCTGTAATATGAACGTTTAATTTTTTGCGTTTGTCAGTGCTTCTGAGCATATGCACAAACAGCAAAATGAAAAAAAGACTATTTCAAATAAAGAAGATGACATTCAACATCTTCTTTTATTAAAATGCTCTTAAATTTGCAACAGAAGAAAAGACTAATAATTTATGGAAATGATCACGACCAGGTTGAAAAGTAACAGAGAAAAGAAAAACTAAATTCATTCAGCAACGTTTGTAGACTAGATAAAGTATATCGGAATGATAACGTATGCACACAAGTTGAAAAATGGATAAGAAATAAAGATGTATGTTAGAATGCTCTCTAACAAAGTTAAATATATTATAATATATATATGGGTGAAACTGGTTCCATCACTAATAAGTATCTATTTTTAAAATTACTATTTTTTAAGATCTTTCAGATAGTGATCGCTTGAAACGAGATATACTTTTTATTTTCGACACAAAAAGATCGCAATATCTATTTTCTTTCATTAGCCATTCGAGCCTTTCCTTATGTATAATGGAAAATGGATTATCGTAAAAAGTAGTTTAAGATATGTCCCTCTCTATCTCATATCACAACAGTCTTTGTTGGTAATTAAGTTTGATTCAAAAAGATTTGTATATTCAATTCACTCTACCAGCATAAAAATAGTTTGTTTAGAATTTCATAAGCAGCTTTAGAATCTACTTATGAAACTCAGCGAAAATAAAGCCTAAGTCGTTCAACAAGAAATGTTCCTTTTTATTGAAAATATTCATTTAGAATAGAATCCAATGATCCTCGTCATTCCATAAAAATCATAAATCCATCCGTATAGTATTCCTTTACATTGATTTACACAATCTTTTGCGTGAGTCTTACAGGAGAAAATAAATAACAACTTGGAAGTATCATAAATGCTAAATTCCTAAATTATAATTGACAAGAATACAATGTTAGAATTGATTTGAATGAGAAAACTTGTGAAAAGTATGCAGAACAAGACCAAATGCTCAGAATCTCATTAATATCGAGTATTATGGATGCCGTTCAGGTTTGAGAGAAACCAATTTATGATCTAATTGGTATTGTTCATCAGATCTCATCAATTTGTATGTAAGTCAAAGATTTAAAAGAATCAGAAAATCTCGATTCGATTGAGTTTATATCCAATAATAAGAAAGCTATTTATTGCTGTAAGTAACTTATTTTGACAATTTCTTTTAAAATTCATTCTAGTTCTCATCAGTCTGAATGCTAGCACTATTGATTTAGACAAAGTTGGAAGTTTCAAAGGCGAATGCAAAATACAAATTAAGAAATTGTTCTAATAATGGAAAAATTTTTAATCTGACATACTAGCAATTTTAGTAGTTTTTGACTTAGCATTATTCACGCTCCTACATTTGTCTCAATTTTGGATGAAGCCACATACACTAGTAGAAAGACTAGGCGAGCTTCTATTTACAATCGAACACTATTTTGATCCCACGATGTAAATTGAAGATAGAGGGTGTGGGCATTCTTCGATTACACATCCACACCCAGATTGCCAAAACACACAATACAAAGAGCCGCAACCTTTTATTGACATAAATTTTATTGATCACTTTTTAGAGTTCATCAAGAGCTTATAATCGAGTCATCTAAAGAAATGTACGTTAAAATAAATATGGTTTCCTTTTCTGATGTAAATCATTCTATAGAAGGCATATGCAATAATTGAGTCCAATATTTTTATTCGAATATTTTGCTGATAAATACTTGATAATTAGTTTTCTGTTTGCCTATTGTCGTCAGGAAACATTCATATTATTTTCAATCGTTCGTGGCCTTGTTTGAGCAGTTTCAATATTTACTCTTCGTCGTCGATGCCAGAAGAAAATGATAAGCTTTAGTTCTTTGCGAAATAGTTGACTCGTAAGTGTGAACATGAAAAACGACGTAGAAGTGTTTATGAAAGCAATCATATGAACCATCGTAGAAACGAACGCTTCTATTTGAAGACGTTCTGCACTTTTCACTTGTTTCATAGTAATTTCTGAATAGATTTTTTCAATAGACGTTGGCAATGATAAGATTGCAACGCAAATAACTTGAGTGATAAGCATAATATTAAGTTGACGCTCTTTTGAATTTGATAGACGATTGATCGGTCGATGACGGATATGTTGAATAGTTAGCCATCCTAGTATAAACATTAATAATGGTGGAAGAAGACTATAGAAAATAAGAAGAATAGAATCATTAAATATATTGCAAAATTTTGTGGATGGATAACAGTTAAAACTTTCGGGACTTCCATTAAAACAAACAAACATTTGACCCCAAATGGCACTTGAGATGAAAATTATAGCATAAATGATCCGTTGAGAAAATTTTACTTGGCTGAATGAACGTATTCGAACACTAGATGAACTTGATGCATATCGATCAGCACATGCTGCTACGATAAACCATGTTGATGCCGTCAGAGGCATAAAAGTAAAGAATGTTCGAAATCGGCAGTAGATAGATCCCTGAGATGATGTTGTATTAGTACCAAAAGTCATTAATAAGCGCGTCAGGCAACTAAAATAGAGTGCTATTATATTAGCAACGCTGGTTGCAAAAAAATAAATTGAGCATGGATTATGTCGAAGTGAGCGACGTGTGAAAAGAATACAATTGAGAACGTTACCGATAGTTCCAGCGATAAGCAGTGTTAATGATATACCTCGGGTAAGTTCATTCTGAATACGTTGAAGATTCTGTATCGGTATAGTTGACATTGTTAATATCGTCGCAATGTGTGCTAGTACGTAAAATTCAATTGTCTTTTTCCGTTGTTTTGATTCTAGAAAGGAAGATGAAGAGTATTCAACTTTTTCTTTGATACGTGACGAATCGACGTACTTTCTCGTTTGAGAGATATAATGTTTAATTAGAAATAGTTCTAAAACTTATCTATTTGAATATATATGTAGTAATCTACAGAGATTACATTTAATAAAATAGCTTCCTTTTTTCTTTTGAACTTAGCTCTAAAAAAAGCAGCAACAATAAGATTTTTTAAGAAGTAAGTAAATAATCTGATTAGTTCAGCAATAGAAATGACTTCTGCCAGCAATAGATATAAGAATAAATGGAAATATTCTTGTACAAAAGATAACTAGTTAGTTTTTATTCAACTTTTCATAAATAGTTAAAAAGAATGGCGATGAAAAATTTTGTTAGTTTAAAAGATGAGTAACAGTAATGACTTTAATGCGTTATAATATTGAAAGTTGTATTCAACTATTAATGAGTTCAACTTTCAACTTTGATGTACATGAAAATGATGAACCTTCTACCATGCATGCACATTCCAAGTAAAAAATTATATTTTTTTCTTTGAAACACCTATTAAGTACCTAAGATCAAGTTACGGAGAGAATCAATCACTCAAGAATGTAGACAGTCAAATAAACACTCTAAAAAAAAGAATTTTTATCGAACCAAAAAAGATTCATTCCATCGATAAACGGAAAGATTTTTCTTTGGTTTCATAAGATAGGTAGTTTCGTACCCAACAATTCTTGAAAAATGGTAGAAAAGGCTTTGTACAAAACCATTTTTTGACAAACTGAACAAAAGGCTCCGTATATTTGCCTTTCAACTAAAGCATTACTAACGCATATCGATACGATACAGAATAAGGAAAATAGCAGTGACACACTCGCCTATCGAGTCACTACGACTCCCTTATGCTATTCGGATGTTAAATAACGTTATCTGTACTCAAGAAAGCGATTTTTCTCGAACATAAAGGACGTCATATAACATTAGAACAACAAGTAACTCATACTGATTCGCTGGATAAGTATGCCACTGCGGGTGTGTGGGTGTGGGTGTGGGTGTGGGGTGTGGGAGGAAAAAGACTGATTCCCACACCCACACCCACACCCATGTACTTATCTCTGTTCATTTTGATAGTATTATAGCCTATGTGAGTATAACACAGTAGATTTCAAAATTTCTGAATATATGGTGCGATGAAAATTTTCAACAAAGCAAACATGCGAAGAAGCATCGACAAAAAACGTTTCTCAGAAAAAATTTGGCCCCTTTTTTACTACATTAGTATATACAGTATGATTGATCCAATAACTAATTCAGATGAAAAGTCTGGGCGCCAGTGTAGATGAAGAGAACATCAACCCACACCTACATTTCATCAAATAGTTTGATGTAATCTGGTCTTCACTTCATTTAATAAAATATAGGAAAGAATATTGAAGATAAAAGTACATTGCTATGAAGAAGTGTCACATGATAGAATAATTTACTATATTTGTAATCATTCTCTCTGTTCTAACTTTTGGATGATCCTCTTAAAAATATCTATGAAGCACTTGATCGAACACAAAAACTAGTTAGTCGTTAGATAGAAATGCTTTATATATTTTTTTCTCAAAAAAAATGAAAACGATTTAATATTAATAATCATCACTGATTTTTGCTGAAATTTTTTCCACGATATTTTAAAGTCATTGATGAATTCGGTTATCTTCTTGTCATATTAAGTTGATTCACAATATATGACAATGTTTGATCAAACAGTGTACACCTCACCCCAAATGTTGAATGTGTACCTGCTATAAAATCGAGTTCATCTTTAGGTGTGTTTTACTTAGTTGCTTAATTTAGAACTATTTCATCCAACAACCGTTATTGCTTTGCACCGTCCAAAGCATCAATTAGAGATTAATAAATTCTTGCTAATGATTTAGCATTTGTTATTCCATTTGCTTCGGGTATTTCAGTTCAATATAGACGAGGGTGTGGGCATATCTTGGTGTGTAGGTGCGGCTCAAGTGAAATATTCAGATCCACAACCGACCATGGTTGATTTTTTGAAGTTCTTCGAAATTCACAGGAATTCACTAGCACAGTAGCTGATTCATTGTAAGTGTTTAGTCACTATTTGTCGATCTTGCCCATTCAATATCTGATCTGACCATTACAACAAAATTTCATAAGTCCATTTTAACTGACCATCGGTATCGTTTCTTTCTAAGAGAACTGTTGGTACGCCGGAAGCTAGTATTCGAACTGAATATCATTCAAGTTGAGAAAGAAAAATTTTCTATAAATTGGAGGTCACATTTATCTACGCGTCTAGCAAACATAACTCACCTGAAGCATGATTTGGTTCAATATTTCCATGTTATATGCGGGACATACCTGTCTCATTTTGGTCATAGTCTGAAGATGTTAATCTTAATAACTTGATTGTATCTGTCACTTCGTTTGCATGAACATAACTAATAAACTTGTCTGTCGATGAACATTATTCAGGCATATAACTATGTTTTTGGAAATTTTCAACTAAGAAAAATGACATATTTTGCTTAGATTCATCGACAGACATCCAGAAACTTTGAACTTTGTTAATTTGAGGGTGTAAAAATTGTATACTCTATGTTATCTGACAAGTTGAATCAATCAACAAAACTAATGCTATGGATTAGAGTATTATGTTCATGTCGATGCTGATGAATTAACATGTTTTGATTCAAAAACAATTTTTAAAGCAAGTTCGGAAAGAAAGAGAATTATGAATAAGAATATTGATCCATGTCATGTAAAGTTAGGTATTCGAGTATGGTTGTAGGTATATCTCTCTTCTTCAACAATGTCAAATTACAACCACACTTTCGTATCAACGATATCGTTTATAAAATACATGGAACATTTCAGTAATTATATAATTTACTTGAGTGTTATCATCCAAGACAAGGATGTAACTTCATTCGAATGTGATAAACCTATTGGCACACATATGATATAAATAATACAAAATTCAAGTGAATATGCAGTTACCTAGAGTGACAAAGCATGGTTCCATTTTCTGTCGATAATGAAACTTGATAACGAAAAGGTTCGACAACATAGAATGATTCATATTCTAATGAATATTGATTTAATATAAAGATTCTACTTCATGCTCTTTCGTAAAAATCAGTTTCATTTGAAAAAACAAACACTTCTATGATCTATTTTCGCAAAAAAAATGTTCAAAAAATAACCAAAAAATTAGAAAAAGAAATCTAGGCCGCTCAGTATGAAAAATTAGTTTTTGGTGGTTGCGAATAAATTCTAGACCATAATTGCCGGCTGTTTACCTTTAATGATGGCAACAGTGATCTATACTCTTAATGTTCCTGAGAGATAGAGATAAATCGAATCGTTATGGACATTTTCAGTCCTATTGATTTTGGCTAATGTCAGCTAGACATTGCTTAAGACGGTTATTTTCTTGTATTAATTCGTGGATTTGTTGTTTCATGGCTGTACAATCGTTTGTCAGGTGTTTCATTTTGTCTGCAACAGCATCAAATTGATTGTTGAAATGTTCAAGTACATACTCAAGTGCTAAATGGTCGGACGAGAGAACACTTTCGACGGTTGATGGAATCGTCAGCGGAAGAAACGAGTGAGCTAAAAGAACACATTGGTTAGAATTTATGAAGCTACAACTAAGGATGCGTTGCTTTTGCACCATGGAACAAAAAATTCGAAAAATACTAAGTAAAGATTAGACTGAATTTCAACAGTATTGACAGTGAATGTATCGATTTCGATAAAACCTTATACAACTTTAAGATTCTAATACTTCTTGTATAGAGAAGTGTACGCATATGTGTGTATGAAAAATAGTTTTTGCAAGTTTTTAATTTACACTTTCAAACTTCCCAGAGGCGACCATACTTTTCATGATTCAAAAGCATGCTTAATTAAGTTCAACGTTAGTAAAAGAGCGACAAAGAAACTGAAAGACTTCTTGAATACATTGTTCCAACTATTTAGAAAAATTTCTTTTCTCAAAGCGGGCATTTCGGAAAATTTTGAGTGACTTTAAAGAACGAAAAGTGTTTACTGCTTTTGTGCCAAAATCTTCACTGCGATACGTACTACCATTTTATCCAGTATAGTTTTGAAAATTTTTTACTTAATTTTATAAATTTATCTTAGAGTTGAAACGTTGTTGTCTTTGATCAACAAATGACGTGTCGTAGAACCGAGATGTACTTTCAAGCATATCCAAAGACATATTCAAAATCATCGTAGAAATTTATATTGAAAAATGTGAATTGAAACTCACGAGAAAAGTATTCTGACTGTTACACAAATGTACACTTCGATAACTTATGAAAAAGTTTAGACTTCTTTGAGATGATGCTTTTTCCTTCGTAACACTAGATTTCGGTATTGCATTTTAGAAGTATGAATTTTAAAAAATGTTTATTTTTTAAAAATTCATCTCTCAATGATGCGATACTCAAAAATGATAAAATTTTGAATATGAACTTGTCTTATGGAGTCATTTATTTTTGTCAAGTTTTTATATGTTAGTTTAAAATATGAACCTACTGGAAAGTGAGACATTTGCAGAAAAAGTTCATTAAATATTCAATAAACGTGTGCATCGTGCTTTGGAAATTCTCATTCTTCTAAATCTTTTCTTTATTGCGTCTTGCTGAACAACGATTTTGCTCTGCACTTTATATTGTTTTCTTTCGACTGATATTTTTGACGAAAAAGTTTCTATGAGAATAGTAACGTCGTCAAGTAAGAAAGATTGCAAGTTGGTAAAATTTTCGTGTTCGCAGCAGTCGAAAATGTCACTAGAATCTTTCTCGTAATTCGAAATAAAGAGCTTCGATTTTACAGCTTTAACAAGGAGAATATGAATTCAAGTCTATCTAGTGATGAAATTAGCATTCGTAGCTATCCTAATCAGTATTTT